AAAAATTCTAATTTTTTCCTTTCTTTTATTTTCTTTTGTTGCTGCTGTTGCAGCAGGGTCTCTCTATGTAGTTTTAGCTATCCTGGAACTCAACTATGTAGACTCAGCTAGCCTTGAACTCACAGAGATCTTCCTGCTTCCTCCTTCTGAGCACTGGGATTAAAGGCACACACCACCATGCCCAGCTTCCTTACTACTTTCTTAAAAGCAATAAAGTTTGTTCTTGATGTGAAAAGACTGAAGGAACTATCTTGAAAAGAGTCATGGATTCTGAAGTCTTCCTTAACTATCTCAATATGAGTAAGTGACATTATCATGTAATTATTTAAGAAGCAAGTATTTACTAATGCTTATTATTACAGGAAAATGTGAAGAAAATGTCAGAAGTTTTGACATTTTAACTATGCTTAATGAATCTAAAAGCTGCTGTGGATGGATTTAGTCAAGCAGCCTTTAGCAAAAATGAAAGCATGTGATGACCATGAGACCATCTGCCTGCTGATTGGATTTTGGAACTAGTTGATATCACCTGAGGCTTACAATAAATTCAAGTCTTTATAATAAGTATTAGTACAATATTTTAGTACTAAGTTCTAAATAATAAGTAGTATCTAGAAAGCAGATGGGAAGGGAGACAAGGGCATTTGCTGAACTGAACTGAGACTTAGATTTGATGTCCTGTGTTATATAGTTATTATACTCTCTAAAACTGTGGCAAAAACCACTGTTAGAGACTCGATATAAGCTGTCTAAGAATCCAGTGTAGGGGGCTTTCCAGGCCCAAAGTTCATTGATGATTATGTAAGACAGGTTTGATGTTACTATGTATTTCCCATAACTGACTAAACCTGATTCATCATAAAATTTTTAAAAATTATTTTAAAGTAGTCAACTAATTGGGCACTAGATCAAGAATCTGAGTTTTTTTCATGATATTTCCTAATAATAAAAATAATTATGATCATGAATATTGACTCAAACATATCTCAACTGAATTCTCCATTTTGCTACTTTGTTAGTGTACTTGGTTAAGTCTTATGCCTCAACCTCTCTACTTTATATTCAAGAAGGATAATAATGGTTCATTTCTCCTTGATTTTCATGAGAAGTAAATGAGACATTTTGCCTGAAACACACTATTAAGAATTCAAAGTAAACAACACACATTTCATGATTATTATAATTTTAATGATCATTATTTTTATTACCACTGTCAAATTAGACCTCATGATTAAAAGTAGAACCCACACTGTTCATAATTATATTTAGATTTTAAATGATTATTATTAACATCAAATTAGACTTAGAGCCTTTGTGGCCATCCGGACCCTGCTCATCCTGCTCCCTGGCTCTTTAAACAGATAATCTCTTTTGAAGGAATGAAGATCAAAGGTACTTTATGAAGTCTACAATGTATGTGAAACTGTAGATATCCTTCCAAACAATATATTCAAACATTGGAGATTATTGATAAAGGGGTGTTGGAATGTATAGCCACCCATTCTTCTTCCCACAGTTGAACTTAAATATGTTCCACTGTGCTCTGTACTTCATAGTCATCACTACAGTGATGAGTGACATAAAACTATGCCTTTCTAGTTAGTTTAAGAGTTTCCCATGTAGCTCAGACTGGTTCCAAAGTTAGTATGTAGACTATTATGACCTTTTACTTCCGATTCTCCTACCACTACTTACTAGTGCTGATTACAAATGTATATCATTGGATCTGTCTATACTATACCAGTTTTTCTCTGTGTAAAATAACTTCTTTATTTACTTATTTATTTTTATTAAGGAATTTTTTATTCATTTACATACCAACCACAGATCCCCCTCTCTTCCCTCCTCCAGCCTCCCCTAGTCTTCCCCCACAATCCATCCTCTATTCCATCCTCCAACAAGGTCAGGCCTCCTATGGGGAGTCGGCAGAGCCTGGTACTTTCAGTAGAGGCAGGTTCAAGCTCCACCCCACACCCTGCCTCAAGGCTGTGCGAGGTGTCCCACCATAGATAGTGGGCTCCAAGAAGCCAGCTTATGCACAGTGAATGGATCCTGATCCTACTGCCAGGGGGCCGGCCCCTTGAGCAGATCAACTGCACAACTGTCTCGCTTATGTGGAGGGCCTAGTCCAGTCCCATGGAGGCTCCACAGCCATTGGTCTAAAGTTCACAAGCTCCCACTAGTTTGGTTTGGTTGTCTCTGTAGGAGCTCCAGGAGTCCAGTCGAAGAGAGAGAAGAGGGATTCTATACTATACCATTTTATACTTGGTTGTGGAAGAATCTTTAAAGACTTTAAGGCTATATTTGTAGAACATACTGGCTATAAGTAAATAAACATGCAGTTATATACTCATATCCTGATATTGTTTCAATACCTCAATAAAACTTTTTAAGTCATATGGCATTTGCTATGAAATGCCCCAAACTCACATAGGTTATTGAGTGCATTTTTTTCAAGAGATCTTTATTTAAATTCTATTAACCCCTTCTGAAATCTTATTTTCTTAAAATGTTACATATCATATGTGGATCTAGACATCTTACTGCCTACTTTTTCTTTCATGTATTTTGTAAGTGGGTTTGTCTGTGTTATTTCTACTCGAAAACAGGAAAAGAGGGATTTTTTTTTATCAGAGAATACAACTCTGTGTCACACTATGAATAATAATGGAAGAGTTTAATAAAAGAGAAAAAAAGAAACTAGATCAATTTTTCTATTCCTTTTAGAGAAGTGTCCTCTATTGCTGACCTATTGAGATTTTGTCATTCCTAACAGCTGACTATCAAGTGTTTACTAAGCCTTCCTAGATGTCCTCACACAGTTCGAACCTCCTCTGTATCACTTCCATGCTTTTGTCACACTTAAAGGATGAATCTGCAATTTGCTCTTTCGGTTCTGAGTTCTTCTTGGGGCAGAGAATCAGGCTATATTCACAGGACTGCAGGTTCTACACCTATGGGCACTCAATCATTCATTAGAATTATAACAAGCATTTTAAATTAAATCGTATGAACTAATGCATGTGGTATGCAGCAATAACAAGGTAATTTTATTTTTCCCTGGCTGAAACTTCCTTCACAGATATGTTATCTACTACAACATTCTGCAACCTGAGCAGTATGGACACTTCCTGTTAATTTGAATAGGAAATTGAAAGGTGGATTACATACGAAAACTATGCACCCTGCTTTGAAGGAAAGTAGCAAGTGTTATTCATTTTATCTAACCCTCCTGTTAGTATTGAGTGCCATTGACTGGAGTGTTTCAAAATGAAGAGAGTGAGGCTTACTTTTATAATTTCCTTTATTGTTTCAAAGTTCATAAACATAATTCAAGTCTAATTTATGCAAAGGCATGCTAAACTTAAGTCGTGGAATGTCCTTTCAGTGCCGGGCTGTGACAAACATGGCAAATAACAGCCAGATCATAGATACAAAATTCATGGACACATCTACACATAATATTCAGTAATGCATTTTTCAACACCTGTTCAGTTTGACAAAAACTTTACAGTATTATCAGTTCATATGATTTTATTAAGCACATGGATGTGACATAAATTATTGAAAATATATAAAATCATAATTATTTATTAAATTTGTAATGTCAATGTTTACCAAGAATTTATGTACATTTTATTAGGACAAGTTGCAACTGGAGCATGACTTTTGAGAAAATAAAGCTATTAAAGAAAATGCTTATATTCTCTATTATCTGTTAAGTTTGATACTTGTTACCAATCTTTTTCTAGTGCAATTTAAATAATTAATTAATAAATTAATTAAATGTGTATCATATTAGTCTTAGGTCAAGTACAAAGATTTCTGACTTACAAAGAAGAAAAGTGCGCTACCTCCTTTGAAATAGGTATTTGAAAAATCTCTCCATTAGGGCAAAGATTTGGGCTCATGACTTTTGGGCACTACAGTCGTTAAATAGACTGTTAATAAGAACAATGAATAATAGATTTTTCTTCTATCATTACAGAAATTTCTATTTTTGAGGGCAAAGATCCAAACTTGAATCTCAAGTTGGAGCAAGGAAATAACATTAATGGCATCCTGTTTTTTTTTTTATCTCTGAACATTTAAACACCTAATTTTCATGGCAGCATTTTAGGTTCTGGAATTTATGTCTCACCTGATTTGTGCTGTTCAGAAAGTTATACCATATTCAATTCAGTTCATGTACATCTATGCGAATATGCACAAGTATGTATGGCATCGTCCGTGTGTGTGCGTGTGTGAATGTAAAAGATTGCCTAACAGGTTCCAAAGTAAAGCAAGCAAACGTTTGCTAGATTTTTTGAAGTCTGTAGCGTGCTATTGACACTTAAAGGGCTTGGCCACCAGTGTCTGGGGCCCCAGAGGCCACGAGCTCCTTGGGAAATGTTGCTTCCTGACCTGGAAGCCAACTTGGCAGACAGACTGCTAGCAAACACTGTCCGTCAGAATACGGAAGCCAGACCCGATCAGGCAAAACTTGAAAAGGTCCTTTCATGAGAAGCCCCAGTTGGCTTTTTCCAGTCACCCTAGGCCCGCGCGTTTTTCTGCGCTCGCCACGTGTGCGCAGGCGTGCGAGCCAGCGAGCGCTCAGACCCACCGCTCTCCTCACCGAGCGACTCTCTCAGGCTCGCCCACAGGAAGTGGAGGGATTGCTCCTCTCCAGCTTCTGAGGGGGAAAGAAAAAAAAAGGCGGGAGGACGAGGAGCAGCCTGGCGGGCGCGGGCGCGCCTCGAGGGGAAGACCTTGCGGCGGCAGGTGCAGCCCGCAGGCAGCAGCAGCATCTCCGCTCCGCCGTCGGGGCGCGTGCGCATCGGGCGTCCCCGGGCCCAGGCCAGGAGGTTTGAGCGGCGGCCCCGGGGGCGCGGAGGCGGGGGCGCGCGCGGGCTTGAGCGCGCTCCAGCTCCCTAGCGGCGCGCCGGCTGGGGAGGGGAGGGGAGGGGAGGGGAGGGGAGGGGAGGGGGCGGGGCGCGCGGGGCTGGGCGGCGGAGGAGCAGGCGCGCTGCGACCCGAGGGCACGGTGGAGCATCGCTCGCCCGCCCCAGAGCGCCCGTCTTAAGCCGGGCAGGCGCGCTGCAGCCTCCCTCAGGGCTAGCCTCGGCAGGCAGGGGCGCTCGCTCGCTCGCTCGCTCGCACTGCACTCCCAAGTCCCGCGCGGCGCGGCAGGCGGCCGAAGGACGCGGTAAGCGGCGGCGGGCGTCTGACTGCAGGGACCCACGGGGGGGGGGGGGACGGAGGGCTCGGGATCCCGGACGGGTGCGCTGCCCGAGGTGAGGGAGGGACGGCCCCCGGCTGAGGCAGCCCGACGCGGGGCTCCGTGGAGAGAGAGAGCGCTCAGGTTTGTCCCCCCTGAGGTGGTGTCCCCGCGGTGGCGGCGGCGGCGGCGGCGGCGGGAGCGGGTGAAGGGGACGCCTCTCCAGACGCAGGACCTTGCGCCGGACCCCGGGGCAGGATCTCCGGGTCCCCGCGGAAGGTGCGCGACGGGGGTGCATTGGGGAAGGGGGCGGCCCCCGGGCTGCGCGCCCACGCGGGACCTCTCGGTGACCGCAGCGGTGGACGGAGACAGTCCGGTCGCGCGTGGCCCGGGGCGGGCGGACGCGAGTGCGGGGCCGGATCAGGAGGTGGGAAAGCTGCGGGAGGGAGGGTGGGAGGGAGGGTTTGCCTGCTGTGGAGGAGCGGCAGGGCCCGGGATGGATGGATGCTGCGGGGCTTGCCGGAGGAGAGGCATCGCCGGCCGGCCGAGCGCTGGGCTCGCGGATGCAGTGCGTCCGGGCAAAAGGACGCTCAGAGGTGTCTCCAGTCAGGACCTGATCCGTGTGCTCCAAAATTGAGTTTGCAGGGTTAGGAAGTTGGGGACTTAGAATTTGTCACTCTGCAACACTTAGGGACAGGATCGCTGCGGTGCCTGTGTTGGGACCAGCCCTCAGCATCTTTTCCAGTGCTGAAGGACGTGAAGGGACAGAGGCAGGAAAGTGCTCCCAGTTCAGAAAATTAACTAAGGGGGAAACTCTGGGTTGGGGGAGGGATTATCACAAGGGAAGAAAGGGGTGACTTTCTTATTCCTCACCTTATCTGGAAACCACTATTGTGATACAGTGTCAGGACTAGTCACAGGCTTCTGTTTCACGTGATTGCCTTCAGAAAAGGTTCAAAGAAAAGCACTAAGGTTTTTGGTCATCTTAGGCTGTCACCTTGTACAACTGTTGTTTGTTCGCTTTTTCAAAACTAATGACAAGAATGTGTGGCAGTTTGCCTGGATATTGACAAATATGCCGCTAGTTCTGTCTATAATCCCACGTCCCCCCAAACAAGTACCTTCTTGGATGTAGACGTCCTTAACCCATATGCCCAGACCAAAAAAAAGGGCACTGTTTAAAAAAGACGAGAAAGTCTTCCTTAATTATTCTAATAGCATTACCAGTCACGCATTGTCCCTAGGCTTTTTTTTAAAATTATTAATTAACTAAAAAAATTCATACCCTTAAGCAGAACTTTATGTTAATCAAATTAAACGTGAGTTTGCAGTTTAACTTTTCCTGAAGAAACTATTTCTTGGCAGCTTGAGGTGCTTGATCTGACCATGTCTGTTCAACAACTCTTAAGTCTTCTAGATAGTGTTAGAGAGAAGGACGGATTTACCTGCCACCAGCAAGGTTAAGTGCACATCTACTGTGGTCGTGGAATCTAGCGTTCCAGGAACATTTTTAAACTGTGAGGAAGCAGTGTCGACATTTAGAACAACAGCCCAGCTTTGTTGGGCACATCTGAACAACTGGGCATTCTACTGGCCATTCTTCTGATTTTTTCTGCCACAGAGATCTGAGCTCTTTGAGTCTTAACTTTACAGTTTTGTGTTTGTACTGATACTTAGAATACTTGTTATAATAAATAAATTCAATAAATACATTTCATGACAAGATTTTTGTAAGGTTTTTTTGATGGGTTGTTTGATAGTTAACATTTCTGGTCATTTAAATTGAGATATTTCAAGGTACCCGTGAGCAGTCTTGAGTTTAGTTATTATTTAAATATTAAATAAATATATTATTTAAATATATTTAAAAATTGAGGGTAAAACTTACCCTCAATTCTCAGACTCTGTTTTAAAATGATTTATGGATCTGCATCTCAAACAATCCAGATTTCTTTATTAACTAATTCTTAATTTCCAGAGTACACCTGAAAATTGCTGACGCACACAAACAATGGCTTCTTTTGCCTGCTTATGCAATATATATTATACTGACAACATATGAGTTGGTGCTTACTTTCTGGGTAGTTCACCCTATATTAATCACCAAAAAAGCTAGCCATTAAAATAAGCAGTTTAAAAACCTTCTTCAGAATTTTTGGATATGCTTTTTTTGTGTGTGGTGTCTGGGTTATAAGTATGAATCTATAAAGGATTCAAGAATGCCATTTGTTGAGGTGTAGAGAACTATTTTTGTTTATAGTTTATGGTCTCTGCCTGCCTGGTTGAAGTACTAGAATGGAGACAGAGGTACCATTCTTCTTTATGTGCTTTTGTCTGGGTCTCCTTTCTGTTATCAGCTATCACTTTCTGCTGTCAGGCTGGGAGCGGGTCCTGATGCTGTGTCCACCTGTTTTTCTTTCTTTTTTTCTGTCCTAATGAAGTCATGTATCCATTGCCACGTACAAAGCCTGTAGATTCTGTGACAGACAATTTTTGTTCATGTGCTCTTTGCTGTACTATGGGCTGAAAGGTTGTGATTCTCAGAAGAGTGACTGTATATGCAAGGTTTTAATGTGTTTATATACAGAAAATTTTGTATGGGAGATCCTTAAAAGAGTGTCTTCACTTTAGACAATTTGGCTTTTTTTTTTTTTTTTAAATTGAATCAGACCCTTTAAAAATGTTTACTTTTCTTATGTGGGCTTAGGTTATTTATGTACCTCTTTCTGTCAGTGAAACTCATTAACCTGGTGTAGTGTTAATAGTCCCCTATCCTGGAAGCTAAGTAAAAGTGTAATTTGATAATCCTGCTAACCATACTGGATGCTTGTTCAATTATTTAAATGTTACTTTGCATACCTGTCTAAGGAGGAGCTACATAATCAAATCAGTTTGAGGAAAGTCTATTAGTCTTTAAAGTTGTGTTAGTCATATATTCTTTATCTGAAGCATTTCATGAACATATATTCTTTCCTCTAACAGGTATTTATTAACAGCATACCAGTTGCCAGTCTCTGTGCACTGAGATTATGCAAACAATTCTAACTATGGTAGTTTCTGGGTCTAAGAGGGAAACCTGCGTGATCTAGAGCTATAGGAACATTTTTTTTTTAATTATGGGGAAGCACAGTGTCTTGGCACTTAAACAACAGCTTAATACACTATAACATGTTTTGCACATCTGAGACAAAACAAGAAACTAATATTAATGAAACAGAAGAGCAATGTTGTTTAAGTGCTGTGGTATAAGTGTGATCCCAGTGCCTGAGTAGGGATTTGTGAATGGGTAGTTATCAATTCAAGAAGACTTTCAAGGATTCCTGGAAGGTGACATAAAATCAAGGTTAGCAGAAACAAGATCCTGGATGTTTGTTTACCATCCTGAGGGTTATCTCCCTCTATGCAGAGTTGCTTTTAAAAGAGGTGTGATATGCTGAGAGGTCAGCTTTCACAGCAGTCTAGAAGGATGGCTCTCAGAAATCTGAGACAGGAACAGCTTTTATGTTTTGGGATGACCTTGATAAGAGGACTTAATATATAAGTGTTACTTGAGTGAAGAAGAGGGAGTACCAAGGTAACTTAAGTGGTAGAGTCTATAAGAAGAGCAGGAGATGAGTATGCTGGTGGAATACAGAAATTTGGGATAAGAGACTGAGATTTGAGATGTCAAGGTGTCAGGTTCAGGTTGGGGCACACAGAACCTGAAGTGGTGTGGAAAGTTCATTAGAGATGTGTATGCAGTAAGTCATGTCACAAAGTTTTGTGAAGAGAGGGCCTAGGTTAGATAGTAAGTAGGTAGATTAGTGGATGGATGCAGGGATGACAGTTGTAGCATGTTGCATAATTGTAAACATTGAAAGTTGATGGGCTTACCAGGAAAGGTACCAAGAGTTAGTAGGAAAATAGACAACTGGGGAGATCCTAAAATTTGGCAACTGGATTGAGAAATAGAGACCAACAAAAAATGAGACCTTGGAAAGCAAGAGGGCAGGACAGAATGAGGGGAAAGGAGAGACTTTCAAGAAGTGAGCCATCGGGTGGTGAATGGAGGAGTGTTAGACAGTCCTGCTCTACCTTCACTCAGGTAAATTCTGTGTCCTGGGGATGGCAGTTCATTTTCTAGCCTTAGTCTGCAAAATAGGGAACAAATCAAGTGTTTTACAAGGCTTCTGTGAGATCAAAGATGATAGATAGGCTTAAGTACAGCATTTAGAAGGTTACCTGTTTGTTGCTAGTATGTAGAAGCAGCTTTAATGAAAACAGACCTTGGATTTGTGATTAGAAGACTCAGAGTGAATTTTAGTTCCCAAAGTGCAAGCTGGCAGGGTCTAGAGGTTATTTCAAAAACATTTATGAGGTGATCCAATTTGTAGTGCTTTGCTTGGGAAGCCAGTGGATTAGCAGATATTGAAAAATATGAAGGAAGCAGAGAAGCCAGCTCATCCAAGTCTTAGAAGAGAGGATAGGAGTTGCTTCCAGAGTTCTAGTGGGATGCTGAGTTCCCAGAACAGCCTCTGCTCCAGCTGAATGGTGTTTAAACATCAACTGTCCCTCAAACCGATGTTCTTGGTATTCTAGGTATGCCTTGGATGATCTCACAAGGTATTGATTGTTCATTTTAATAGAGTCTGAAACAAACAAAACTGAAGATAGATATCAAAGCTTAAACTATTTCCATCAGTTGCTGAGTGAAGCCTCTCTGAGGCATCAATCTATGAGTATAGAAGAATATCACTAGGAATCATTTCCATTGACTTTTTTCCCATTCCTTATTGATTCTATCCTAGGTCTCTGGGGTATCCCACCTCTGGGTCCTGACACTCAGGGGTGAGCTCCCTCTCAGGGTATGGGTCTCCACCAGTGCCAGTCATTAGTTGGTCACTCCCACAATTTCTGAGCCATCTTTCCCCCAGCACATCTTGTAGGCAGTGCAATTTGTAAGTTGAAGGGTTTGTGGCCAGGTTGGTGTCCCAGTCCTTCCCCTGGAA